ACCTGCCTTCTGAGGCAGTTACTGCAATGGGTCAGGATGGAGGCTTTAGAGCCACAGTGACTGGATTTGAATCCTGACTCCTCTGGGTGACTTTGGGCAAGTTCCTTCACTGTCTGTGCTTCAATTGCCTTATCTGTAAAATGAGGGTAATGATAGTCAGGGCTACCATTGGCCCATGCGGTTGCTTTGTGTGAACGAGAAAAAGGTGCCCCTTCTGGGAAAATGCACTGCCCAGCCTGCACAACTCTATATGGTATCTTTGGTAACTGTACCTTGTTCTTACGGTGTTCAGGATTAAATAATTTAAAATGTGTGAAGTACTCAAACAGTGCCTGGCACAGAGTCAATACTCAGTAGATATTATTTATTATGTAACACCTGTTAACACCCTAAGAACTAGTGTTTAGTAGTATATACCTTGAGAAATGCTGGATTAAATGGATTTATTTGAGGTAGTTCCAGATGATTATCTTTGTCTGAAATTAGATGCTGTTATGCTATAATTTGCTCAGTTTAGCAATGGCCTCACAATTTACCAAACATTTTATAAAATTTGATATTATCACACTTAAAAAGTAGTAACTTATCTATCCAGAACACTAATATGTCTTTAATTTTTGACCTAGTAATTCCACTCCTGGATTATGTCCTTAAGAGATGTACAAAGAAATCTATTATAGATATAGTTGAAACATTACCAGCAATGGATAGCTTAATCACAATTACGTAAACATATGCATAACTCTAGAAGGAAATATATCAAAATGTGATTAGTGGTTATTTCTGGGGTAGTGAGTTTACATGTCTATATTTCCTTATTTTTTCCTGTTTCTTTTACTTTCATAATCACAGAAAATAATATTTTAAAAATGTTTCTTACCTCCTATTGGAAGCATTTTCTGTTTTATGCATAGTCCTTTCTTTTCCCATACCTGCCAGGTGCTCTCAGGGTCAGAGTGGGGTAATATGTTGCTCTGGGAAGCAGGCCTCATCAAAGTGGAGCTCTGTCGTGCTGCAAGGAAGTCTTGCCATCATGGTCCCATTAACCAGATAATGCTGGATGAGGGTGAAGTTATCACTGTTGGGTCAGATGGATGTATTCGGGTAAGCTTTCTTAACTGTTGGACAGTAGCACCCACACCTATGGCTTACAAATCATCCAAGTGGCTTTATCAGATTTATTTTTCTCACAAAAATCACTTTATGAAGGGGATCAGTGGTCATTTACTCCCAGGACCAACTCATTTTAAACAAAGCTTCTCTTGTGGTAAATATTTAAATGTTGTCGAAATGAATTTACTAAAACCTTCTGAGGGGATATCTTGTTATTTTGGTTCTATTGTTGAAATAATTGCTTCAGAAAATGAAAACCTATGTTAGCATGATATTAACAGTGGACACATATGTCCTTCCAAAGTACCTGTTAGGAACTGGTCATTTTCTAGGGATGAAAGTGCCAAACATTCATTCATTATTTTTACTGAGGTTATCAATTAGAAATACACTCAGAGGTGAGCTGACAGGATTGCCCATGGATGCTAACCTCTCGTTGCTCTTCACACTCAGATGGGAGCTGATAGGGATTGCCTGTGAACTCACCTGTGGGCACTGGGCTAAGCTGGAACGTTGCTCTGGCATCCGTGCCCCCTCGGTTGCTGTTCTGGCACATCTTTTCTTCCCCCAGCCCTGCATGGCACCTTCCTTGTGTATGTGTACCCTGCTGCTGCTGGCAAACCTGTGATGTTGTGATCTGCCTTGCGGTCCCATTGGTCCACGTCCCTACTCGGATCTTTCATAAGAAAGCAGTAGAGTTTGGTTGACATCCTTTAAGAAGTATTATTAGAAGGAAGATTGCATTTTGTAATAGTCTGGTGACTCTGTTGACACCTGTTGTGCTTACTATGGCTTGCTGTGACCAGTATATTTTCTTTAAGCCTTATCTGTCTGTCCTCTTACCGTTGGCTTTTTGAGCCTAACTATAGATCTTTACATTTACAATATTAAAGTTCATCTTGTTAGATTCACTCATTGTTCTGATAAGATCTTTTATGGTCTTTATTTTGTCATACAATATATTCACTACCCTTCCAAAATATATGTCACTTAAAAATGTCAAAATATCAAATGGAGGAAAATTCAAGAGAAAAAGTTAAATATTTCACAGGGCATCCCTTTGTGGATACCACAAGTTTCTAAGCTTGCTTCCCATTTTCAAAGTCCACCCTCATCTCTTCAATGTCTACCTCTTGCTCTTTAGGAAAAACCCGTCGCAACTCCCAAGGGTTAGTCTGTCACTGGGATCTTGCCCTCTCGCCCACCAGGCTAATCTATGGACCAACCTCAATCCTTGGAAGTTTCTTTCCCAAAGTCTGAGTTATTCAGCCTAGAATAAAATTGCAGGGTGAGTCATTAGAATTATCCAGGGTGGATTTTGGCACTTCACAGAGGGAGTCCTTCTGAGTCTGTCTGCCACAGTGAGGTGAAGCTGCGCTCCTCATTCTTACTGTAGTATTCTGATCTCCTCTTCCGAGGAAAATCAATCCTTATCTGAGATTAAAAAAAAAAAAAAAAAAAGGCAAAACCAAACCCATTGCTGTTGAGTTGATTCTGGCTCATGGCGACCCGGTGTGTTACAGAGTAGAACTGCTCCATAGGGTTTTCTTGGCTGTAATCTTTATGGAAGCTGTTTGCCAGGCCTTTCTTCTGTGGTGCTGCTGGGTGGGTTCAAACCACTGACCTTCAGGTTAGTATTCAAGTGCAAACATTTGTGTCACCCAGGGACCTTTCATCTGAGGTGGTGGAGTCTAAATTGGTATTAAGGAAGAGAAATATTTCCTAAAGGCGATATCATCTGTATGTAGATAGTCTGCTTGTAATGTAGATAGCCCTTGACTCTTTAAGCAGGCAGGTCTATTTCCCCTTTCTAGGAGCCTACAGGTGTCACCGTGAGTTAGAGTTGACTCTATGGCAACTGGTACTGATGCTGGTACCAGTCTGTATTAAGCAGGGCTCGTTATGATGCCTTAGCTGGACAGCAGAACCATTTATTCCTTATGGCCACTTTAGACGCAGAACAATTTGACAGAAACCTTGAAATGAAGTTTCCTTTGAGTAAATTAAAAGTCTAAGGCAAGGCTGTACTTTCTTACTAATCTCTATAAATAGAAAGGACACTATAATAATTTGTTATCCCCCAGTTTAGAGCAAAATCTCAGCTTTTTTTTCTGGCTTAGAAAATAATATTCAGAATCTACTGACTGATTACAAGTATTTTCTTTCTAATTTTACAAGATCTGGGATTTTGAGACAATAGACACTGCTGATGCTGTTGATGACTCTGGATTGGTGGAGATCGAGCCTATGAATGAGCTTCAAGTAGGCAAAAATGTCAGACTCTTCTCTATGATCAAAATGGAGGAACCTGGAAATAACTTTTGGTTGGCTCAGGTAAATTGCATTCTTCTCTCTTGGTTCATTGAAGTTACTGGGTATAAAATTAAAATAGTAGTATAATCCATCGTCAGTTATAATCCTTTTTACTATTAAGGCTACTGTTAATACTTCAGTAAAGAGTTCCTGAATTTTGGCATAAAATTGACCTGTATTTTAAACAAAGAAAACCAGTTAGGAACATATTTATTATATTAAACTGACTATAAGGTCGCTATGAATCGGAATTGACTCCACAACAGCGAGTTTATAAGCATAATGAGATTGCTTTGTTTATTGTATGGTTTTGTTCTAAGATATATAGAAGTCGCTTTTGTTAAAGTTTGGTCACACTTTAGAGTATTTATATGTAAACTTTTGGTATCACTGTTTGTCCTTACTATAATTAAATCATGAGAAGAAAATTTTTAGTTTGGTAAAATTTTCAGTTTGATAAAAGTTCAAAATGATAATGGAAAATATTATCAGCTATTTCATTTTTTTTAGGATGCCAGTGGTGCCATATGGAAGCTTGACCTTAGTTTTTCAAATATTGTGAGTTACCTATTTTTTCTATTTTTCCCTATCTTTCATAGTAAAAACCTCTGTTATTTAAAAGGTGCTTTATTTTCTCCATATTTGGTCGTTGTTCCCATAAAAAATTTGCTCAACACACAGGTCTCCTTAGAATGCTCTTTCTCTAAGCTTTGATTTTAGACTTTCAAAAAAAGGACCTATCTCAGAGCAGAATACACAGAAAAGTGGCAGTGCCTAGCATTATACAGAGCTTTACAGTTTTCATAAACATGTGCCATTTTTGTTTACATTACCTCATGTGATCCTCACAGCTGTTCTGTTCAGAAGGCTGGGCTGTTGCCCTCATCTTGTTTTAGAGATGAAGGCATGGAAACTGGGATTTAAAGTGACTTGTGCAACATTACACAGCCTTCAAGTGCAAAGCCAGGATTCCATTTGGTTCTCCTAATTCCAAAGTCCAAGGCTGTTTCTAACCTATGATGCTTTCTCTTCTTTTTATTGAAATAAAATCACACACTTGTTACAGGGTTGTATTTGCATTTCTTTACACTTGACCTTGATTCTGTGTTAACTTCTCTCTGAGATCGAGCAGGCTGTCTGTGTTTATTATTAGACCCAGGATCCAGAATGCCTCTTTTCCTTCCACTCTGGACCTATCCAAGCCATGGCTGTCTCTCCTCTCACCTACCTCATGGCCACTACTTCCTTGGACTGTAAGTAGGAACTCTCTGGGCTTTTTTGTTTTGTTTTTAATGCATTTTTTAAAAATATGTGTTTGATTAAAAGCATTTGAGATTTTTTTTTCCAAAAGGGAAGCCTCTTGATACAAGTGAGGTAAGCTGTTGTGGAAGGGAGGGCACCAAATATAGCAGCCAGGCTTATTGCAGGAGGTTGAAACAAGGATGCGATCAGTAAGCTAGTCATGAAAATGCTATTCATTGTGGGTTTTCTACATTTGTGCTATTCCTTTTCTTTCCATTCCTTCCTTCTCGACTTCTGGCAAATCTGTGTGGACTGTGTGTGCAAGGTGAGATGGATGCACCTACCATCATCAGTTGGCTTCTTTAGTATTAATTTTTATAAATTACCTGACTGAGGGTGTACATGGAAAATTTTTGACTAAACGAAAGCTATTGGATTATCAGAGCCCTGGTGGCACAGTGGTTAAGAGCTCTGCTGCTAACCAAAAGGTGGGCAGTTCAAATCCACCAGCTTCTCCTTGGAAACCCTATGGGGCAGTTCTGCTCTATCCTACAGGGTTGTTATGAGCCAGAATTGACTTCACAGCAACGGGTTTGGGGTTTTTATTGGATTATCAGTTGATTTAGCTAATTATGAAATTTCTTGTCATAATACTCAAAATGTGAAGGGAGCCAAGATTATTTTAAAAGATATTGTGTACATAATATATTTCTTCTAAAACTATCTTTCTATAGGCTCTGTTCGAATCTATGATTTTGCTAGCAAAACTCCTCTGACTCAGATAAACTTCAAAGAAGGTGGTACTGCCCTCACCTGGGTACCCCAACTGGTAAGCTTATTGTTCTAATGAACTTCTACCAGAATTTTTTGGTAAATATGGTGTATCAGTGCTATTTCTTGGAAATATATTTTCTTTTTTTTTTTTTTATATTTTATTGTACTTCAGGTGAAGGCTTACAGAACAAATAGTTCCTCATGAAGCAGTAGTACACATGTTGTTTTATGACATTGGTTAACAACCCCACAACATATTAACCCTCTAACTTCTCAACCTTTTTTTTT